TTTCCGGTTTTTCGGGACCGTTGGCCATGTGCCTCGATTCGGGACCACTTAACCATCTCCATTTGCTCTGATTTTTGGCATACATCCTATTTTCTCCCTTTTGAGGGACACTGGGGACTGAGAGACCCACTTCGTGGTCGAATGCCACTTTTGGTGCTTAACAGCCCATTTTCGGGACCCCGAACTGCGCGTTTTGGCCCCCGAACATTCGTTTTGCAATAGTTTTCGTTCATTTTTGGCAGGTACCTCTGTTTTATCACTGGGAAGGCGGTAGAAGGGTGGGAGGCCAGTAATTGTTGTAGCAACCAGTTATATATCCCCCGACGCCCTCCGATGCCCGTTTTTCACACTTCCGGGCTAATGTTGAACACCTTGGGGCCACTTTCTTGAACTTTGAACCACATACTTGTGATGTACACACATGGGAGGACCCTAAAAGTTGGTGGCCGGCCACTAATGTTGCTTGACCCTTCTGAACCCCTCCTTCCGAGCCAATGTTGAACACCCGTGAGCCACTTTCTTGGACTTTTAACCACAGGGTTGTGTTGAGGGCACATGGGAGGACACCATTATGTGGTGGCCGGCCACTAAACCAACTTGACCCTTTTGACCCCTAGCCGGCCGGCTAGGGGGTGTGGCCGGCCGGCCACCTGAAACAAAAATACCTGGCCGGCCATGATCCTCACACTGTTCACTTTACAGCTGCATAGCTTTATCCCCCAGAAAATATCTCAATCCGGGGGATATTTTGTGGGGGAAAGCTTGTCTCCTTTTTCCCCCACCTTTACTCCCTCTTTTTGCTCCATATAACCAGCCTCCAACACTTGAAGAAGGGGTTCACTACTACAAAAACAGATAAAGATCACACTTTTTTTGTGTGATGCATGTTATTTAATCACACCTTTTAAGTTTTATTCAAGTGTGATCTTTGAGAGTGTGATTAAAAGAGGTCATTTTTAATCACACTTTTTAAGTGTGGTTAATAACATTTAGATCTCACCTTTTAAGTGTGATTAAAAATATTTAGATCACATCTTTTAAGTGTGATTAATAACATTTAGATCACACCTTTTAAGTGTGATTAAAAACATTTAGATCACATCTTTATGTGTGATTAAAAATATTAAGATTACACATTTTAAGTGTGATTAAAAGCATTTAGATCACACCTTTTAATTGTGATTAATAACATTTAGATCACATCTTTTAAGTGTGATTAAAAATATTTAGATCACATCTTTAGGTGTGATTAATAACATTTAGATCACATCTTTTAAGTGCGATTAAAAATATTTACATCACATCTTTTAAGTGTGATTAATAACATTTAAATTACACCTTTTAAGTGATTAAAATATTTAGATCACACATTTTAAGTGTGATTAATAACTAATAAAATCTGAAATAAAAAAAAGGTTCAACATATTTGAAAAATAATCAATATTATTTTTGTATGCACATTTGAAGAATGTAATACACAGTATCTACTATACTTTGAATCATAACCACATATTGAATGAAATAACGCTATATATTTCATAAATGAAAATTAAATATTCAAAAGTATATACAAAGGAATTAAATAAAAAAAATTTAACTGTACTTACATATATTAAAAAATGAAAAAACTTAAAAAACTAATTTCTTTAATTCTTTGATCATATTTTGCATTTCTCCAAAAAATTTCTGACCTGAAAAATGAAAACACAAATTAATTCAGAAACCGCAGGAACATATAACTATTTATGGAGACTATTCTAGTCTTACAAAAGATATAGTCAGACCTTTTCTCATCACACTGACTCTTCATCTCCTGCTTCAATAGAAAAAAGAATAACTACTTTGATTAAATAATCAATTCTCATGAAAAAAATGGACCAAATATCTCAAGATAACTGAATATGAACTATGACTACAGGGCAACAATGATCAGGAGAAGGAACAGGGTTATGCAAACATTTTATCCGTGCCCTTGAATATAGGAAAACTCACATGTTAAAAGATTTCAACAGTTAACTCATCATCAGACAAGAACATGCAGAAAACAAATTAATAGCCAGAAGAAAGTTGTCATCTCCATTTAAAAATTGATAATTATTCCTAAGACATGAACATGCAGAAAACAAATTGCTCCATTTCTTAAACCACATAAAACAATCTGTCCCTGCAACAAGAGATGAGTTTGTTACATTGAAATCATACAGTGATAGTCAGTTAACCACAGACAAAGGTCATGTAATGATAATAGATGAAAAATTATCAAATAAAAAATGTAATGATAATATATAAAAGTACAACAATGTCATTTATAAATCTTGAGATGAGATCAATATCTACCAAGGAAAAAGTTGTTGACTTGATTATGCAAAGCCTGTTAACTGTTGATGTGCAAATTCTGAATTGCATAGTGGTGCCACATGAAACTCTTACCATGTTGCTTGCAACTCTTACCATATTGCTTCAAACCTGCATTAATCAAAACAGAAGAGATTTATGAATTAGCACTACAAAAAAAAAAACACTTTTTGCGACTGTCACCAGCCGTCGCAAATAATAAAAATACAGTTGCAAAAGACTCTTTGCGATGGCCTATGCGACAGCAGATAGGGGACGCAAATGTGGGGGTGGCAAATACTTTTTGAGACGGCAAACCAACGGTCGCAAATTATTTGCGACCGCCTAAACTACTTTTTGCGACAGCTATTTAGCCGTCGCCAAAAGCTTTCAAAAACAATTAATATCACATTTTCAGCGACTAAAACATTTAGTTGCCAAAACTAAAATTATTTTCCACGACTAATTTATTTAGTAGCCAAAAAATTTTTTTTGTTCATCTTATATTTTTTTGCTACTAAATGTTTTAGTGACCTAAAGTGTAATTTTTTTTAACTACTAAAAATTTAGTCGCCTAAAGTCTATTTTTTTATTTTGCTACTAAAATTTTAGTCCCCCAAAGTTTTTTTCATTTTATTTTTTTTTTAACTTCTAATTATTTAGTCGCTAAAAATATTTACTTTTTTTTTGGCAACCAATTATTTAGTGGCCAAAAACATGATATTATTTTTTTTTTTGTTTTTAATTTGTCCATAACCTGTACATATTCCGTGCAACCTATACCATGTATATAAACAAAACAATACATATATTATCAATCATTTTGCAATTTGCATCCATTTCACTTCCAACCATCCAAAAATGAATAATTTTTAATGTCAAATTCTATACAAACTAAGTATATTCCAATCTAAAATAATAATTCCATACAAAAGTAGTAATCAGGCACCTTGTAATCTTTAAGAAAAATTTCTTTGGGCATGTCCATTTTGGATTCTTCAACTTGCTTTGGTAAGTGTTCTGTTGCAACTAAATAAATTAACCTCTTGCTGAATTGCTTGGCCTGCTAACATAATGAATAAAAGTGAGCATGAAAATTGACATAATGTGAATTTATGAGAGGAGTGATAAATTCAACAATAACAACTCACGGGTAATGAAGGACAAGGAAACCGATAATTTTTCCGATGTGCAACCTAACACATCTCCCCTACCATCCCAAAATCGGCCACCCATCACCACCACTCCCCATTCGCCACACCCACCACACTCCAAGGCCACCCCCCTTTAACATAAAATGCGTATTGGCTATACGTATTGGCTAAACGTATTGATTTGCATTTAAACATAATGAATCATTACATACGTATAATGAAGCGTATGATACTAAAATATTACATAACATAACAACAAACAATAAGATGGTAAACAAGAAAGGAGAAGCAAGTAACTACAATACAGACCTTGATATTATAATCATCCCTTTCAGCCACCTGCTGCAACAAATGTTGGTTTTGTGTCTGCATATCTTCATATGCTTGACTAATAGTCTGCAAATAAAGAAAATGAGTGTAAGAAAGAAAAACAGAATGGCGAGAAGAAATAAAGGCAGGATCAAGGCACAAAAAACATCACCACAGTGAACAAGAAAAATTACATGGTTATCTGAGGACTTAAACATAATCATCAGACCTCAATTTCAGAAATATAAGCCTCCGATTCACCATCTTTAATTTTAACAGCCTCCTTCAGCTCTAAAACATCCCTGCAGATGAAGTGACAGCAAACACTGTCACAAACTTAATAGAAAATTTATCTAGTGAATTTATATAGGAAAAGGGGAAAGGGATGGGTAAAAAAAAAAATGATCTAGTGGTAATTTTTAATTCACCATGTCAACAATATGGTAGCATTTTTATCACTATATAAAGTTACTCTGTTGTACTAAATATTGATACCTCAAAGAAAGACCCAAAGAATTGCTCTGCTGTACTTGGGAAAACATCCTGAGGGGAATTAACATAGATAATATTGACACGAAACGTAAAGAAATTAAATACTCAAGGATTGTGCAAAACAATTATACATACATTGTGTATACTAACTAAGGCTTCTTCTTGGATGAAGGGTTGGAACTTCACAGTCTTGGGCACGCTTTCTTCAGTAATCTTAGCCTGGCTTTTGCTGCTTCTAACAGGGTTGCTCTGTGCACGAAGAGCAGACTGTTCCTTCTCCTGTATAACAGTAAGAATAGAACAGTCAAAGAAGTTTAATAGCAATTTAAATAGTTCAGGGTCAAAACTTAACAAAAGTAAAGGTACAATGTCAAGGGCAAGGACTTGCAAGCAGCCCTAACCTAATTCAAGCAGAGGAACCATGAGTATCATTTCACATAGTTCAGAAGATTACCAAATATAATTCCACTACTCATATGTACCAAATAAATGGTATATCTCATGTGTAACTAATAATAACTTGAAGGCTGATTTATGAGGATATTCATGTTTGCCCTGTTAATTACAGAAGCTAGGAAAGGTGGACTAGATATAATACAGACCAAACCTTTGTGGCTTCTTTCATGCTTCAGCATTAGTGCCCCTAGATTCTAACCTTGTAACTTAAACATAAAATCAATAAGAAAATACTAACCTAGTTTTATGTATATAAAGTTTTCCACATTTGAACTCACAAGTTCTTCGTGTAAGTAATTTCCATTACATAGTATTTGGCATCTTATTTTTCACATGGCCAATTCCAACAACCCAACAACCAAACAAGGAGTTTTCATTTTAATTTATTTAGCGTCTTCTTTTCTCTTATTTCTATCCTCTTCAACTCCCTCTCCCCTGTCGTTCTCTTCTTTTTTTTTTTATTTACTAATTTATTTAGTTTCCTAGTTGTCCTAGTTTTTCTCCTTGTTCTTTGATAATATAATATGATCTATTTCAAATTTATTTATTTATTTGAAGGGTTTGGTTTCTGTTGCTCATTTTGGATGGTTTCGGTGTAAATATTTGGGCAAAAAATCAAAGCAGCTATGTAAATCATGAGAAACAATTACAAATTATGCTCACTTTAGCTAATGAGGATGAAGGATTCTCTATATCTATAATATTTTACTTTTTAGATACATCTAAGTAAGGTACATTTAAAAAAAAAATTGTTTAAAATTTTATTTTTCGGAAAAAAAAAAAAAAAAAAAAGCGAAAAACATTTGAAGGCGCTTTCGAAAGTTAAAACGGTGTCGTATTGGTCATAAGAATGCGACGTTTATAAAAACGCCGTAAAAAATTAGAAACAAAGGCGTTTTTCTAAACGCCGTCAAATCAACGCCGTTAATCCTTACTTTTCTTGTAGTGTATCCCAGAGCACCATAATCGAAATCAAGATTGTAGGGGTACCCTGTTGCAAAACATAGATCTCTATATGAGATACAACAATGCAGTAAATTTTAATGATGCAAAATAAAAAAAATTAAAACTTCAATTGTTATAAATACCTGAATACAACTTTAAAAACAATTAAGCATGAATTTTATCAAAAACTAATTTAATGATAAAATTATATCACAATTGTGTTTGTGAGAGAGAGAGAGAGAGTTTCATCAATTTTTCAAATTCTCTCCCCAACCTCCCAAATGCTTGTATCCCACTGTATTTCCACATTTGAGAGACTGAGATGGCCCACGTTCACATAGTGGAAGAAACACATCAGAACTGAAATCTCATAGTACTTTTTCTTCTAAGACTAAGAGAAATAACAACAAGTACCAAGTAACATGATCAAAAAAAATCTGTTCAAAGAGTTAACAACAGCCAATTCAAAAATAGATGAAAAGAAATAACCTCTGAGAATAACACAAATAGAACACACGAGCAACACCATGTTCACCTATTTCACAAAGTTGGTGACACTACAATGTATGCCAGATTGTTTAGATTTAGGCAAAAACCATATCAATGCATCCTCTTTTGCTTTTTAACCATGATGCTAGGTCGACAAGATCCCTATTCTTGTTTGATGAACATTTATGTTACTTTTCATGAAATAATGCTATGGCTTATGCTCTCAATGAGAGCAGATAAAATATTATTGAAAGTTTGCACATTAACTATCTTATATTATAGAGACAACACTAAACATTTTTCATTTATATGAGCAAAAAATCAGTGTAACATGTTTAAAAAATTCAGGGTACCAGAAATGAAAATATTGAGATGATGAGTGGCATGCAAATATGAAACAAATGCATGAAGTTAGAAGTGGCACCAATTGAAAGCATAAAATAAAGAGGAAAAATATCAGATGCAACATAAAACAATAATGCACTTGTAAGGAGTGATTTGATTCATATTAAGGGTCGTAAAAAAAAATCTGAAGAACGTTGAGCAGAAAGTGAGTTGAGACAAAAGAAATGTCTGAGACATACATATATATATTATATTATATATAGAGAGAGAGAGAGAGAGGATAGACCGTCGACGCAGACAACATCGAAGGGTGAACACGGTGGTAATCGAAAAGAGGTTCGATTTGTTCTTCGGTTGATTTGGCCTATAAAACAGAGAAATCGAAAATCAAGTTCAAAAACCTATAAAACAAAAACAATGCTTAGAAGATTAGGGGCTAGAACTTGAAGTTTCGCACCATTAGGGTAGAAGAAATTGGGGCCAAAGTCACAGTAATCGTCGAGGGAGAAGTAAAGGTCGGAGTTGGGATCGTGTAGGGTTTGAAGGAAACGGTTCTCATTGAAGAGTTGTTGGGAGGGTTTAAGAGTGTTGGGGTAGCGCAGTGATTGGAGTAGGAGGGGCCGAAGTTAAGAATGGGAGAAGGAGAAGAGGGCATTGGAGGAGTGGCGGAAGAGGGATTTCGGCGGAAGACGGTAGTGGAAATTGAAAGGGCAGGGGCAGAGGGCGGTGGCGGTGGTGGGGAGGAGAGTGGAGATGGAGTGAGGGTGGTTTCAGAGAGGTGGATGAGGTGTTTTGAGTGTTCAGAGAACGGTTGGGAGATCGGGAGGCTGTGGTAGAGATGGAGGTGGCAGTGGTAAAGTGATTGAGTTGGTGGTGGTGGTGGTAAGAAGCGGAATGGTGGTGGAGATGAGAATAAGAAGTTAGGGTTAGGGTTAGGGTTAGGAAGTGAAGGAAGAAGGTGAGGTATGGTAATGGAGATGGAGGATTCATCATCTCTTCTTTCTTCGTCGCCCTCCTCACTGCCCAGAAAATGCTTTGAGTTTTTGTTTATTTACTTTATTTTTAAGATTGATGTTGAGGTTGAAAAGTAGAGACTTTTGATTTATTTATTTTTTTAATTTTTAGTATAGTTGGATAACATTACGCTTACAGCTATATTTATAAAAAATTTAAAAACTCAAATAAAAATTTATTGGTAAATTTTTGATTTATAAATCAGTTGTCTCAGTTTAAAAATTTGGCCAAAAAATATAAACTCAAAAAATGTGTTTCGTTTTGAATTTTCAATTTTTTTTTTACTACCCAACACTAGCCACCACCCGCCACCATTTTTCACTACCGTCTTCCGCCACCACCACCACACCCCACACCACTGCCACCACCACTCACCACCAGTCACCTGCCGCCCACTCACCACCACCACCCACCCCTCGCCACCACTACCACCACCACCCACCACTCACCTGCCACCCACCCGCCACCACCCACCTCTCACCACCCGCCACCACCCACCACCACCACCACCCACTTACTACCCCACCCACCACCCACCACCACCCACCACCCACCTGCCACCACCACCCGCCACCGCCACCGCCACCGCCGCCACACCACCATCACCATCACCCACCACCCACCCGCCACCACCACCC